TGCTTTAGGTGTCAGCAGTGACATGAACTCTAGGCAAGAAATAAAGAATCATCTAGACAGACTCCTCCATCTAAATTAAAGACTGACCTTTAAGTTAGGCCAAAGTATTAGAGGGTCATACAGGGGAGTAAAGAAGCAAAACACACCCATTTTGAATCTGTCTATAAAGTGCCTATGGCAAGACAGAATTTTACTGAATGCCACGTATACCAAGACAGCAAATGATCTGTGGAACCACGGGAGCTGCTTTTGTCTGGCCATGGTCAGCACAGCTGGCAAAGCACACCTAGAGGGGTCTACAACATCCCAGGAAAGCATGCTGTAAACCACACTGCCAGCTTCACCCCCTGAAAGAAAAGGTAAATCTTGGGCAGAGGATTTTCTTTTTAGTGTGCCTCACAGGGCAGCAGAGTCACTTCCCAGCCCACACAGAGGGACATAAATGAAGAAATAATTCCCTATTGTGACTTGCAAATGTTTTCTTTCAAAGCCATTTTTCAGATCATCAAAAATCAGAACATATTAACATAAAAACAGATCAACAGATCATTTTTCCAATTTTTACACAACAACTGCTTAAAAAGCAGTTCCATTTTCATTTTTCTTTAAGGGAAAGATAAGCAACCTGAAGAGGACCCAAGAAAGCCTCAAGATACACAAATGATATCTAGGTTGTTTTGAGGAAGTGGCTTCCAATGGATCCTGGAAAGAACTACAGGTAATGAGAACTGAAAAAGACTCCAGATACCATACTAATAGATCTGTGTTGAAGAGCACAGAATCTGGCTAAAACCTTATCTAGCACTGGGAACTGTGCAGACAGCTCAGTCCCTGAGAGATTAGGGATTAAAAGTGATTTGGCTGGAGAACCGAGTCCTAGAAGAGGCAAACTACTGGTCGGTGAGGAGACACAGGGCTATCAGACTATCCCATGGGGAAAAGGTGCGTTAGGAGGCACCAGCTCCTCCCAGAAAGCCAGATGTTCTGGAGTGGAATGCTCCAAGGAGCCTCCTGAAAATCCTGGCCCTTTCAAACGTTAATCCTTACAACAAAACAGATCCATCTAAAATAATTTGTAAGTTCATAATTACTACATACTAATATGGGTAACAAAAGTATGTAGCATTATCCCAATTAATGACAATATTAATTCTTGCTAATTAACTCAAGCCAAATCCTCATTGCTGGAGACAACTCTTTAAGGAACTGTTCTCTGATTTATTTAAAAAAAATCCTCCTAAATACCAGATTTAACAACTTTGGAGACAAGAGACCTTAAGTCTGGTCCACTGTCTCAGCTCCTACTAATCCTACGAAATAATGTGCCAAGTCAGGAATTTGCACACTCTCCCTTAAAAATGTCTGTCACTGAAAACAAAAACACCTTGTCTGTTTTTTTCGGACTGCATTCTTTCTTCCTCTCTGTTGTACTGCAGGCCATGCCTTTAGGCACAGCAGAAGAATCAAAGACAATCCATCACGAGAGAAGATGGCAAACAAGAGAAATAGCAGAAAGAACGGCAAAAATGTGAGCAGTCTCTTTCAGATTGTTCAGAGTCACTGGATTTTCCCTGGGGAAACCTCTCCCTTAGGCACAGATGGTATTCAAATGGCCATTTTGTTTTCAAAACAGCACCACTCCTTCAAAAGTTAAACTCCTTGGCTTCGAGGTTCAAGATGGATTTTGATTTTTGCACACAGTACAGATCACTGTGCTATTTGGTCTTTCACCTGAAGCACTGCTGGCCTTCTTCAGGAGAATACCAGGCAGGAGGAACCAATGCTTTCTGTTCTGTCACTGGAAGTGTGGCCTTCTCCAAGTTCTCCTCAGATGAAGGAGAAGAACAGCTGCTAACCAGCTACGTAATTCCCTTCAGAATTGCACAACCCTGGCTGGAGCTGTGCCTGCTTAGAGTTAGGTACGTGTGGCTTAGGTTACTTCTCAAAGTATCTTGGGTGCATTTATCAAATTAGGCAGCTTCGACCTCCACAACCAACTTCCTTCTTCTGTCTGAACTCTTTATCCTCTTACACAGAGTTTGAAAAAGAAGTGAGCATACAATGCAATAGCATCAGCACCAAAAATTTCCTTGTAAGGGGGTATTCCCCATCAAACATTTTTGCTTAGGTCAAGTGGCTTTAGGTATGTGGAACATAGTGCTTTAAAGAATTACCCAGATTTTCATTTAAAAAAAATGAACTTGGATAAAGAAATCATAATATTTACAAGCACCAATAGCAAACTGGAGACTGACACAAATGAGGAATGTTCCCACCCAAATCACATAAGCATACAGAAATACAGTAAAAAATACTGTAGGTGTCAAATAATATTTACTTCTTATTTTCAAGAAACACATGCCACTATATTTTGAGCTGAATTAACCATTACCTTTTTCCTCTTCTGAAAGCTCCTCTATGGGCTCCAGCATATGCACCAAGGGTGCCTGCTCTAATAAGGGGGAAGAACAGGAACACCAGACAAACAGGACAGAAGAAGGTCAAGGTCCAAGAGTGGGAAAGTCAGGCACAAAAACCACACTGACGACACAGCTTTCCTGATTGCTGCCAAACTGCTTAACAATCACAAACCCAGTGCAACGTGTCTCTTCACTGCCTTGGTGCTATGTTCTTGGAGAGGAGACCCTAACACAACAGCCACTTCAGGAGAGATTCAGTCGCCCAAACACGAGTGTCTAGTGTCATCTCAGATATAGCCAAGTTTTCAGCCATCAGCACAGGGCTGGCTGATAAATCACAGGACTATAGAAAAACCCTGTGTCCTTCTAGAATGGCACCCAGAGGCAAGGTGGGATGTTTTTTAGGCATCTACAATGACAAGGTCACTCAGGTTTAAGTAAATGAATACTGTCATTCACTTCTCACAAGAAGCGTTGTAATTTTAAAATGTATTTTTCAATATTTTTTATGTGCAATTTGATACCAAAAGTTTAAAAAAGGCAAGTGAAATGGACAAAGAAATCCTCAAAAATATATGGAAAAAAAAGTTAACTAATTATTCCAGAGAATTAATAAGTACTGAGTCCATACATGCAAGACAGAGAAAGTTTTATATATGATAATTTCCACTAAAACAAATTTTTAAAAAAATCTTGAATGACTCCAATATAGTAAGATTCAGTACTGTCACCTGCTTTAAAGAAACCTTGAAAAGTCTTCTGCTCAAAACAACTTCCTAAATATCTTGAAGTTACCAGTCAGGTACAACTTGCTTTATATAAATGAAGCCAGAATACAGTTTATTTACAACTTAATAGACTTAAGATATGAGAGATGCACGAGGACTATATGTAGACTAATAAAAATTTGGTTTTTACAAAATGTTAATATTCACCTTCCATGAATTAATTTATTTCAACACAAACTAGAACTTCAGCACCTTCTAGGATTTATGATACAAACAGAGATGCACAACCTCTACATTCAGGATTCAACTGCTAGCACTATAGGAGAAAATTTCTTGGTCAACATCTTGGGCCAACATGCATTTGCCCAGACTTCACAAGAAACCTCTGATCTCTCCATGGTTTCCACACCTCCCTCTCACCTGCTTTCCCAAGCAGGTGACCAGACTTAAGATTTGCTCCCATATATCTTACACCAAATGAGGCTCTAAAAAATAAATGCTTCTTACACCATCATGAGATGCTAACAAGTTGCAAATGTCAATGTATTTTACAGAAACACTTAAAAGCAAAACTCTGAGACAAAGAGGCCTCCGGTCTTTCAGTCTCTACAGCTGTAATACTTAACAGTGGCCAGAGCATTCCTGGGCACTGGAACATGATCCTCCACACCACTGCTCTGGGAACACTGTTGCCCTACACCAACTAACATTCTCCACAACAATGTTCAAGAACAGTTTGGGATCATTTCCAACAGCCTGCAGTGAGTCTCTTTTGGTGGACAGAGCTTGAAGCACAGATGAGATGTTCTGGGCGGATTTAATTTAGCTGCACAGGCACTGAGGTCTCTGAGTTTCATGTCTGGACCCACTAGACAGTAGGCCAGTTGCTGTGTAATTGGATTTAATCTATACTTGTTTGACCCACACTTTATTCACATGCAATCTCCTTAAAGGAACTGAACCCATCTCTGTGCAAGCCCTTGTCAAGTAACTTAAGAGGAAAATCCCAGACTCCAGAACACAGACTTGACAAGAGTCTGCTGATGTGGCACAAAGGTACATACTTCTCTTCCTCAGTATACCAGAAACAGAGGATGTTAAAAATCAGTAAAAGTATAGTTGCAAGAGCAA